GATCCAGGTGACACACCCAGGTCCCACAGACAGAGCCCTGACAGTCAGGATCCAGGTGACACACCCAGGTCCCACAGACAGAGCCTGGACAGTCAGGACCCAGGTGACACACCCAGGTCCCACAGACAGAGCCTGGATGGTCAGTGCCCAGTGACACACCCAGGTTCCATAGACAGAGCCTGGACAGTCAGGGCCCAGGAGACATACCCAGGTCCCACGGGCGGAGCCTGGACCAGTGCCCAGGTGACATACCCAGGTCCCACAGGCGGAGCCTGGGCAGTCAGGGTCCAGGTGACACACCCAGGTCCCACAGGCAGAGCCTGGACAGTTAGGACCCAGGTGACACACCCAGGTCCCACAGGCAGAGCCTGGACAGTTAGGACCCAGGTGACACACCCAGGTCCCACAGGCAGAGCCTGGACAGTTAGGACCCAGGTGACACACCCAGGTCCCACAGGCAGAGCCTGGACAGTTAGGACCCAGGTGACACACCCAGGTCCCACAGGCAGAGCCTGGACAGTTAGGACCCAGGTGACACACCCAGGTCCCACAGGCAGAGCCTGGACAGTTAGGACCCAGGTGACACACCCAGGTCCCACAGGCAGAGCCTGGACAGTTAGGACCCAGGTGACACACCCAGGTCCCACAGGCAGAGCCTGGACAGTTAGGACCCAGGTGACACACCCAGGTCCCACAGGCGGAGCCTGGACAGTCAGTGCCCAGGTGACACACCCAGGTCCCACAGACAGAGCCCGGGCAGTCCGGGTCCAGGTGATACACCCAGGTCCCACAGGCAGAGCCTGGACAGTTAGGACCCAGGTGACACACCCAGGTCCCACAGGCGGAGCCTGGACAGTCAGGGCCCAGGTGACACACCCAGGTTCCACAGACAGAACCCAGAGTCAGGGTCCAGGTGACACACCCAGGTCCCACAGGCGGAGCCTGGACAGCCAGTACCCAGGTGACAGATCCAGGTCCCACAGACAGAGCCTGGGCAGTCAGGGTCCAGGTGACACACCCAGGTCCCACAGACGGAGCCTGGACAGTCAGTGCCCAGTGACACACCCATGTCCCACAGACAGAGCCTGGACAGTCAGTGCCCAGGTGACACACCCAGAGAGGTCAGGACCCAGGTGACACACCCAGGTCCCACAGACAGAACCCAGAGTCAGGGTCCAGGAGACACACCCAGGTCCCACAGACAGCCTGGACAGGCGGGCCGTGGAGGTTGGACTGTGGGCAGCGGATCTGGGATGAGCTACGTGGCTAGGAGCTGACCCTGTCAGGCCTCAGTCTCCCATCTGTAAAGCGTGAGCTCTCATAGCAATTTCGAGGCTGAATCTTCTGTCTCCAGTCAGATGCACCTCGCCCAGCCTTGCAGGTTGTCGAGAGGCTGCCTGGGACCATTCTCCAGGAGGCCGGCAATGCCTTCCCTGAGGTGCGAGTCAGACCCTGAGCTCGACCTTCCCAGTCATGAGTTGAGACTGCAGCCTCAGTGGGCCCGCTGCCACTTGCCTGGGCCCTGCCCTTCCCACCAAGGCCATCAGAACCGTCTGCTTCAAATCCTGGGCAGGGAGAGGTGGAGAAGGAGAGCGGAGCCCAGCGAATGCTGGGGGTTTACCCACAGCTCAGCAGAGGCGGGGGGGGGGGGGGGGGGGGGGGTGTAAAGCATGCCCAGGGCTGCGAGGGCTGGGTGGCTGCCCTAAGAGACTCTAGAGCACTAAGTCTCCATTGCTCTTGAATCACCTGTGTTTACCTATGCCTGGTTGGGCTCCCCATTCGCCTCCTTTGTTCTTCTATGAAGGGGGCAAAGCACCCGTCTAATTTGAGGGTACTGGCGGGATGGGAGGTATGCATGGCCAGCTCCAAAAAGCCTGGCAGAGAACACCTCAGGGAAAATTCTTTTGTCCCCAAATAGCCCGCTCATTCGAGCTTCAAGCTCAGGTTACCTCAAAAAAATTGCTTTTAATGGGGCTGGTAGGTAGCATGCTGGTTATGGGCACTGGACTCCCACATGCTTGACCATGGTTCAAGTCCTGGACCTGGCGGCTGTCTTTCTCTCTCTCTCACACTGTCCCTTGCTGGTTAAATAAAAATAAATAAATAAAGGTTAAAGAATTGCTTTTATTTTTAAAAGGTAATAAGTTTTAATCAGAGGGAGGAAGCCCCTGAAGCTAATGCTTCCCTGACTTCTCATTTTGCAGTGGAACTTTCTGGACTTGGTCCACTGCGAGGGGTGTTCAGGATGAAGTCCTCATTTTCCTGTCAAGTAGAAACTAAAGTCAAAAATAAAGAATGAAAAGCATGTTACCTTTCTATAGTTGTCACCCAAGTCGAGTGCCTTGCTGCCACCAGCCGGCTCTCGCGCGGATCCCCTCCCAGGGCACCTTGACAGGTGCCAATCAGGGGCATTGCTTCCTGGAAGAGGCAATGCTTCAGCTCAGCCTTGCGGGAAGAAAGACCCCCTAGAAATCTCTGTGGGGCACGCGACCCCCATTCACAGAGCAGAACGCTGAAACCCAGGGCTCGCAGCCCTCTGCCTGCTCCCAGAGTCCTTCCCCGCCAGTACAGCCACAACACGTTCGCTGAGACTGCACTGCGTACTTCCGGGTGCAAACCGCAACACAGCAGCTGGGCCTGGGGCCTGAAGGGAGAGTCTGCCTGTCGTGCTCTGTTCTAGTCTCCTGCACCGGCACCTGCTCACTCCTCCCAGGCTCCCCACCCCCACCAGGGCAGCCGTATCTGCTGTCTGCTTCACAGACACAGGCTGGGCTGGCCTTGAGGACACGCAGCATAGCGCAGTTCTGCCCAGGCAAGGCATGAGAGAGGGCTCCCTGGAGGAAGTGACTGAAGTCAGGAGGGTGAGGAGGCATAGCCCTGGCATTCTTCCCAGTCTGGGAACCTGGACAGCTGGGAGAGTCCCCGGGTTGGGCCAAGCCCAGAGGATGGCAGGGCTGTTTCCATCTCCAGATGAGAACATAAGGTTTCTTTCTACCCGGGGAGAGGGAGGCCTGTTGACAGCCAAGGCCCCCATGGTCCCTGTGGACCGGCACCTTCCCCTCCACAGGCCTCAGCTTCCCGCCCTGCCTGTGGTCAGGAGCATTCATTCCAAGAGGCCTGGAACAGGCAGGCGGGCGGCCTGGATCTGGGCCAGACGGCCACAACTCCTTGTCCAGTTTCCTCAAGGTCCTTCTGGAGATGGCTCTGGCCGCAACTGGGTATTCTGAGGCACAACAGGACATACGGTCTCCACAGGAGGTGACAACAGCCCACGGGCCATGCCTAGCTTCCCTGACAGTGTAAGCAGAGGCCCAGCCTGCATGCCTGAATATTCAGAACCCTGGGCCAACTGATGGCTGCTTAGGAAAACATGCTCTGTCTTCCCCACCTGCCTCGGAGGGGCTGGGCTGTGCCCCGAGATCCTGATGTTGAGGTCCTGACCAGCAGTCCTCTGAACGTAGCCTGATTTGGAGGCAGGGCCTTTGCAGATGTCATGGAGTTAAGATAAGGATGTTAGTGCGGCTATGACCCACCATGACCAGCATGCCTAGAAAAGGTCATTGGGCAGAGAGGCGTGGGTAATGTGGTGCGGAGCTCGGGGTTAGGTTTCCATGAGGCAATGGTCCACCAGACCCCGGGAGCTGCCAGGGGAGCACAGCCCTGCTGATAACCTGATCTCAGACCTCGGGTGCCCCGAACTGTGACAAGGTGTATGCCCTCCAGGCTGAGTACCCAGGCTGCCTTACCGGTTAGGAAGCCCTAGGACATGTACAGGTGGTTAGTGTTTTGGTCTCCTGGAGGCTGGGCCATAGTGTGGTGGCCTGGGGAGCCACAGGCAGCCTCCTACCTAGCTCTGCTCTGCAAGTTGGGGCTCCCAGGCCTTGCCCTCCCAGCCCTGTCCATGAACTTCCGGCAGCCACCCAGAAAGGGGCCCTGCAAGTCCGGGAGCTGGGCTCCAGCCATCTGGCAGGAATTATGAGGTCTGTCAGGGCCGGGTCGTGGGAGGTCCTGTGGACGGTCCTGTTGTCCGATGTGGCAGAGGGCACACACATGTGCTTTCCCATCAGGACATCTTCGTATGTGGCCACAGCCCAAGGGGGAACAGGCAGTAGCGAGTGAGAACAGTCCTGGCGGGGAGTGGAAAGGGATCCTTGCCTGTGTGACACGCTCAGCTTCTGCAGGCTCAAAGGCAGTGGGGACAGGGCCTTCCCTGCTGGAACCCTGCCCTGCCAGCCTGTCCCCCGAGACTCACCTCTGCCCCCCAGCGTGCCCTGGCCCCCCAAGCTATGAGAAGTGTTTGCACCTCAGGGTCTTTCATTGCCAGGAAAGCTCCCTCTAGCCCCGCAGGTGGTCTCAGCTCCAACCGCCCTGTTCAGACTGTGGGAGCACCCTCAGCTCTGAGGCCTGGGACCCTGTCTCCCCACCCGGGTTGCCTGGGCAGGGGGCTGGGCTTGCACTGGACGGGGTCAGAGGGAGAGGAAGGGCTGGGACACCGCTGAGGGCCCAGTAGGACGGAAGCAGAGCTGGAACTGGGCTCTGATCAGGACAGGGCAGGTCCCTGGGTGTGTGACCTGCAGCCAGACCCCAGGGGTTTGAATCTTGTTCCACCAGTGAGGTTCTGCGAGGGCACTGTGGTTGGAGGACCTGACACTGTGAGAGCCAGGGGACAGAGTCCACAGGGCACGCGGTCTGGAGGCAAGGAGGTGGGAACAGTGGGGCCAGGGGTTGGGGAAAGGAGTTTTGCTCTTTGTCCTTTGGTACCTGCTTTGGGTACCCAGAGAATGCCAAGCCTGCTCGGACAGCCACATGGAAGCATGTGGAAAACCACATGGAGAAGGTGGGAGGCCAGGGTGGGAGGGGGCAGTGCGGGTCGGGAAGGAAAAGAGGTGGCGCCGGAAGAACCGCAGCGCGAGGCCCCGGGCCTCCCCTCCCTCCAGGCA